AGAATCCATCTCGCTGCAGAAGGTTAAACTTGGTCACCGTACCCAGTGTTTTAGTGATGAAACCACTTTTGATTTATGGAGCACATTTCATAAACTAAGAATAAATGAACATTAGAAAACAATGCAGCTTTACTGTATTTCCATAGAAGTAATGCTGCATTTGGTCTGGGGACACAGAGGGAGCTTCATGTTTCATTTCCAAATCAGTGGAACACACTTGTGTGAGGATGTGTGTTTCTGGTGCAAGTGTCAAAGAGGAATCTGAATCTGAAATGTAAAGTCAGAAGGATTTATAGAGTGTCACAGAGGTAAAGCTACAGGTCCTCCAGAAGAAAACAAACAAACAAACAAACAAAAACAGGGAGAGCCCAGAGACGTGTGTGTTTACACTCTTTGTAGTGTGTATCAGTACAGTGTGTGTGTGTGTGTCTTGTGTGTGTGTGAGTGTCTTGTGTGTGTGTGTGTGTCTTGTGTGTGTGTGAGTGTCTTGTGTGTGTGTGTGCGTGTGTGTGTCTTGTGTGTGAGTGTGTTGTGTGTTGTGTGTGTGAGTGTGTTGTGTGTGTGTGTGTGTGCGTGAGTGTCTTGTGTGTGTGTGTGTGTGCGTGTGTGAGTGTCTTGTGTGTGTGTGTATGTGTGTGAGTGTGTTGTGTGTGTGAGTGTGTTGTGTGTGTGTGTGTGTGTGAGTGTGTTGTGTGTGTCTTGTGTGTGTGTGTGTGTGAGTGTGTTGTGTGTGTGTGAGTGTCTTGTGTGTGAGTGTGTTGTGTGTGTGTGAGTGTGTTGTGTGTGTGTGTTGTGTGTGTGAGTGTGTTGTGTGTGTGTGAGTGTCTTGTGTGTGAGTGTGTTGTGTGTGTTGTGTGTGTGTGAGTGTGTTGTGTGTGTGTGTGAGTGTCTTGTGTGTGTGTGTGTGTGTCTTGTGTGTGAGTGTGTTTGTGTGTGTGTGTGTGTGTGAGTGTGTTGTGTGTGAGTGTGTTGTGTGTGTGCGTGTGTGTGAGTGTCTTGTGTGTGCGTGTGTGAGTGTCTTGTGTGTGTGTGTTGTGTGTGTGTGTGAGTGTGTGTGTGTGTGTGTGTGTGTGTGTGTGAGTGTGTGTTGTGTGTGTGTGAGTGTCTGTGTGTGTGAGTGTGTTGTGTGTGTGTGTGTGTGAGTGTGTTGTGTGTTGTGTGTGTG